CGCCATGTCTCTGCAGGGGACATAGAGCCTGGTGTTGGGGCTGAGATCTCGATGGCAATAAGGTACATGAGGAAATCTAAGGAGACAAGTGGGAAATCTGTGAGTCAAGTGAGAAAGACTTGAGACTAGAACGAATTTGCTATTTGAAGGAACAAAAGGAAGGCCCATGTGTCTAGTGCTTAGGGAAGGTGAGGAAAGAGGCAGGAAGTGAGGGTGGGGAGTTAGTCAAGGCCTTGGAGACCATGGCCAGGGGCTTGGATTTATTCTATCCCCAAAGAGGATTCTATGCAGGGACTCACACAATATGACATCAAATTGAAAACGATGAGGCTGGTTGCTCTTTGGAGAATGGAGTGTGATCAGTAGAACAGAAGCAAAGAGTCAGGTGCAGAGGTCCAAACAAAAGATGATCCCTAGTGGTCTCACCTCCTACTTCCTACAACAAACCAGAGATAATGGCTTACACCAGCCCTACTTGATCCATTGCAGGGGTGGAAGGTATCTCCTGAGTTATAGTGGGCTTTGCTTATTTTCATGATAGGAGTCGAGTGTCTGGAGGGAACCAACCCAGCCTGGGTACGTGTGCCTTCAGGAGATGGCAGCTGCCATGAGAATGTTGGTCGGAATAGTGATCCAGTAGAGCCTCATGCAGATGACCACCAGGGGCTCTGAGATGCCGGAGTGGGGGTGTCCAGGGAAGGGTCTAGAGGTGTCAAGAGCTCCTCCCCGGTCTCCAGCTGTTATTGAGCCACAGAAGGTCATAGCCCCACACTAGGCAAGGCCAGCTCTATCCTCATCTTCCTCACCCTAGGAGGTCCTCCTTGGGCCACTCTCTGGACAGCTCTTCTTGTCCATGTCTGCTGGTTGTGGCATCTCCGCATCCCTGGGAAGTCTTTCCTGTGACTGAGACTGCTTTCTTTCGCGCTGGCTCCCCAGGAGAAGGAAAGAACACAGTGTCTGGTGTCTCCATGGGCCCTGTGATGGGCTGTGGCATTTACTGGAACTGGGATTCTGGAGTTCACTGGCCCTTCAGTCTCTGCTGTGTTTCTGTCAGAAGATTTGGAATGTGCCCTTTCCTTTATACTAAGAGCCACCACAGGCACTATTTGAAACCAGTGTATGTCCTTCCACTGAGAACTCTATAACTTCCTAGTTCTGTTTTTAAATAAAGTGGTTGATTGGAGTCACTCGTGCAGGTATTCCATCTAACACAGGGGCCGCTGGTCTGGAACTAATGGGGAGCTGGGAGTGTGCCTGCTGTTTCCTCTCTCCCAGGTTTTACAGGCCGTTTGCTTCCTGCAGCAGGACTAGGAAGTCCCTCTGCACTTCCCTTTCCTGCGTTCTCATTGTCCAGGCTCTCGTGGTTTTTCCCATCCTCACCGACTCCTCGTTGAGAGTGAGGTTCCCATGTTGGTCCCAAAAAAACCAGCCCTCCCTACAATATCAGCCAGGATATTTCTGATGGTCCCCAATTAGTGTTTGCTCTAGACCAGCTTCCATTTCTGTGGCATGTCTGCAAAGCCCTGGGATCCTGGAGGCTTCCTCTGATACCACCCCCAACCCAAACCCGCTCCCCAGGTCATCCGTGCTACCAGTTTGTGAACAAACACCAAGACCTCTCTGTGCATTTCCATGTATTCTAACATGCCCCAGGGTCAAAAGGCACCACAAAGATACCCAACTGTTATCTTCCCAAACGGATGAGTCAACAGTTTATTGGAAGGTCTAGCTTTCCCATGCCACTTACATCAAACAATAACTTTCCAAACCTTTTATAACTATCTATAAAATCTATCTGGGTGGCTAGATAAATAGATTGATAGATCTCTGGCTAATATATATTAGGTATATATTAGATATCTATATCTACATCTATCTGTAACTGGCCCATTTCCAGTGCTCTGTTAGATGGCATTGATCCATTTGGCTATTCCTGTACTAATCGCACTGTATTACTTGGTAACATTTTTAATCTAAAATAAAAGGAAGGCTGTACTAACCCATGTGCTTTGTGTATCAATGCTGAACAAACATAGCTCCCCACAGTGCAAAGCGTGAGCCCAAGAAGCTTGTAGAAGGGCCATGTCACACCTTTGAGTCTCCTCCTCCTCCTCCCACCAGGACCAGGGCCCATGAGGGCTGAGCCGCAGCCGCTGCTGTGCAAGTTCTTCCCAGTCAACACCGGGCCTGGCCTCTCTCCTGGGAGCCCCCTTCCTGCTCTGCTGGGGCCTGCTGACAGTAACCCCGCTTCCCAGGAGGGGTGCAGGGCCTGAGCATGCTGTTGGGTGCCCCATCCCCACACCCCACACTGCCTGATCCCGCTAATGAGCCTGCCTGGCATCTCCTGGCTGACAGTTGAGAGCGGCTGAGCTTTGGCGAGCACTCAAGCAGCTCCTGTGTAGCTACGTTACAGGCTGAAAGGAGTCCTGTTTTAATTTGGCTTTTCTTCCCCTATAACAAGCAAAGTTCACATTACAGATAAATTGCCCGGAAATTCCAATTTAATAAGGCATATGCATTTTTCAAGCCCAGAAGCACAGAAAACAACTCACACGCTGGTATTTTTACACCGAAAGGTTTATTAAAAAGACAGCTTTGAAAATGTCAGAAGTTTACACAGAGAGCCAGGCCAGCTGGTCAAAAGGGCAGATCTGACAGCAGGGCCCACGGGCCGGGCAGCGGAGGAGCAGGTTGGCTGGAGGCCATGAGCTGCTCTCCCCTTTGGGGAGAAAGCTCCGAGGCTGGGGAGGGTGACCCCCACATTTGGGGTCATCCACCCAGCTCTTCATTGGGACTGCGTGGACGCAGCGTCACCAACACTGGACACTTGGGAGTGCCCAGCAAACGCAGGGTCCCCTGTCCTCTCTCTGTGGCTGGGATTCTGGTAGAAGCTGCATGCTGGCACTAAGATCCAGGACACAGCCGTGCCTCCCAAGGCCTCCAATGGGAAGAGGCACCAAATAAAATAACAGAGAGAAACAAAATTGAAGGGCCCTGTGGAAACACAGATAGCACAGCAATGGATGCCTGATTGTTAAGGAAGAAAACAGTGAGATGCTGGCCTGTGAACCACTCCGCCCACCCCACCCCCCGGAGTTGCTTTCATGGGGAATGTCACGCGCACAGGCCTGACCCACTGTGCACTGCTGCTAGGGGACACCTTCCAAGGTCACGCCCCAGCCTTTAACTGCATATAACAACGTCTTACACAAGAGAAGAAGCAAACATGTTCATTGGGCTGCAAAACCGCAGCATCACAAGACCAAAACATGACAGTGAAACAAAGAGCATTGTTTCACTGCCAACAGGAAAAGCTCTATTATTCCTGTTTTTATTTATATTCTAAACTCTGAGTTGAGGAATCAGAGAATAAATTGTGGTCTATTTAAATTTTTCATTATTTCAAATATGTTTAACCACCACAAACCACTCCTAGATCAAGGGTGAACTTGCTACCTAATAAGCTGGTAAACAAATGTCACCTTTCTTTGCATTTTCTATTTCTGTGATTGTTGCAACTGAAAGAGAAAGGATGCACCGTAATAACATTTACTAGGCAACCACCGTGTGCCAGGCATTCATCTTGGCCCTGGGGATGCAGAATAGCCAACACCTGGTCCTGGGCATAAGTAACACACTGCATCCTGGTTAAGATCCATGCATGCCTGGAATCTGGCACACCTGTCCTGAATTCCAGCTTGGCCACTTCTTAGCTGCACTGCTTTTGGCAAGTTGCTAAGCCTCTCTGAGTCTTGGTAACAGGAATGATACCAACTTTATTTGGTGGTTTTGAACCACAAAAATAAATGTGATGCTAAATTATTTAGCACAAAACCAGGCACAATAGGCAGGCAGTAGTTCAGCCAACTCTACCTCTTCCTGACATCTAGAAGCTCAGAGAATGCCCTAGTTCAGTGGTTCTCAACCTGTGGGTCGAGACCCCTTTGGCGGTCAAACGACCCTTTCACAGGGGTCGCCTAAGACCATCCTGCATATCAGATATTTACAATTCATAACAGTAGCAGCATTACAGTTATGAAGTAGCAACAAAAATAATTTTATGGTTGGGTCACAACATGAAGAACTGTATTTAAAGGGCTCTGCAGACCAAAGGGTCCCGGGTTCGATTCCGGTCAAGGGCATGTACTTCAGTTGCAGGCTCCTCCCCAGCCCAGGGCCTGGTCAGGGCACATGCAAGAGGCAATCAATGGATGTGTTTTTCTCACATCGATGTTTCTCTCTGTCTTTCCCTCTCTCCTCCATTTTCTCTAAAAATATCCTTGTGTGAGGAGTAAAAAAAATAAGAGGAAGCTCAGAGAAGGCAGCAGATCCACAAGGGCCCATATTACACTCTAACAGGTATTTTTATCTATGCACATACCCAGCAAGGACCTAGAAGAGAGAATCACTAATTCTAACTGGGGATCTCATACACTTGACCAGGAGGAGACATTTCAGCTGGGTCCTAGAAGGTAGGGGTTTGCAGGTATACCTATCACTGTCAAAATGAAAGACAGGCCCGGCCATGTGGCTCAGTGGTTGAGCATCGACCTATGAACCAGAAGGTCACAGTTTGATTCCTTGTCAGGGAACATGCCCAGGTTGTGGGCTCGATCCCCAGTAGGGGGCGTGCAGGAGGCAGCACATCAATGATTGTCTCATCATTGATGTTTCCATCTCTCTCTCTCTCCCTCTCCTTTCCTCTCTGAAATCAATAAAAATGTATATTTACTTTTAAAAACTGGGCTTGGACTCAGGAGAGGAGCTGTGAACTTTGCCTCTCTGGGAGATGGGCAGATAAGGGTCCCCTCCTCACAGACTTGTCATGATGCTTAGCATGGAGCAGGCCCAAAGCTGAGCCATTACTTTCTGAATGAACATTGTAACTGTAATGATATTTTGGGGTTTGTGTTAAGATTAGGATTATCTGGCACTCAGCACTCTGAAAAGTTCTTGAGTCTATCTGGAATGTAATCCAGTGCTGTTTGGGACTTTTTCAGGTATTCTGTCTACAAGGATCCAGCAGGCTGGCTGAACATTAACCCCATCAACGGGACTGTGGACACCACCGCCGTGCTGGACCGCGAGTCCCCATTTGTCCACAACAGCGTCTACACTGCCCTCTTCCTGGCCATCGACAGTGGTGAGCAAGTTTTTAAATGCCATCAAATCTATACTTTTCAGTTGTAAATATATTTTTAATTTATTCTGATATGCCTGGAGGTATTTTTAGGAAGAATATAAGTATAAGGGCGAGGAAAGCTAATGTTGAAGCACACAGCGAGCCTAGTCTTGGAGTTCTCAGGTCTTTGTCGCATTAGAGGTCAGAGCAGAGAGCTCACTGGGCTCCAACTCAGGCCGGCACTGAGGTGAGGGAGCCACGTTGATGTCTTTCGTCTTGGGATCTTTTACTTAATGCAGGTGAAAGTCCCAGATGACACCCAACCCTGGTGACTGAATTGTGCCCGCAGTATACCCTCTGCTAGCTTCATACTCACAAAACAAGTGCTGTTCATTCAAAAGCTAGCAGTCGGCATCCACAGGCTAGACCTCACTCTAGATGCTGGGGACATGGCAGTGAACAAACAAAAATGACTCTCCCCATGCAGCTGGCACGATTTTGGAGAAAGGAAGAAAACTGAGTAAAATACGTAATCCTTTTTTAAAAAAAAAATGGAAAGCATACTACTTATGTAGAAACAGGGAAATCAGGAAACGAGATAACAGATGACAGAGTGCTATCGTTTTAACTCGGCAGCCCAGAGAGCCTTGCTGAATAAGTGACAACATGAATGAAGCGAACACTGGAGCAGAGAGAGTGGGTGATTCATGAAGGGAGGGGGGCAGGTCACGTAGGTGTGCAGCCCCCATACCTCCTCGGCTTCCACTTGGTGTGGAATGGGCCACCACTGCCAAGTTCTGAGTAGCGTTCAAACACCGTTGCTGTGTTGAGACCAGCTGGGGGGGACACGGGGAGGAGTAGGGAGACCTCATAGGAAACTGATGGTAATTTAGGCAAGATGGTGGGGTAATAGGGGAAGGGATGAAAAGGGATCAGATCATGGGGATGTTCTGTATATTTCAGACACAGAACTAATGGGATTTGTTATTGGCTGAGATGGGGGATCAGAGCTGTTTTGGGGATATGTTGAGCCGAGCTGTCTATTGTGTCAAACACACATGAAGGTGTGCTCTCCCTATTATTCCTAAAAGCCCGGTGTTGGATGCTGAAAATTCAGTTTGAGACCTACATATCAGAAGGATTACTTGTAAGGCTCTCTGTATGTAGCCCTCATTATACTCAGCAACGGTGAAGTGAGAATTCTCGGAGCCCATCCTCCAGGCTGGGTACTCACACGCAAACCAAGGCGGGGAGCACGCGTCTAGGAAGCGAGGCGTCGGTGTGACACACAATAGGCAGAGGCGGCTTCAAGATGAAGTCGGCCTTGAGTCTGGGCTTGGGTAAGTGGCAGGTCGGGACATGGAGCCGCCTGAGCACGCAGAGCAGAGGAGGCAGAACTAGAAGGGAGTCCGGCATGGGAGGCAAGCGGCAGGAAGGGAAGAGCTGTATCCACTGCGAGTGAATATGTAGAAATTTAGTCGTATATATACAGGAAAGTCATGTCTTCAAAGCATCTCAAACTCCAGCCAAGTCATTAGATGGAGCAAACAGGTCCCACCAGTTCCTGCGGAGGAAACTGTCATGATGAAGCAGCACGCGGACAGGTATCCACAGGGAGCTGGACCTGTGCTTGGTCCTGGAGGCTCAAAGATGAACAACACGTGGTCCTTGTGCTCAGTGAAATCATGAGTCATTTGGGGAATGGTTAACAAAAGAGGGCGATAGGAGTCAGACTGTTCTGATGGAACCAAGTCCAGAGGAGCCCCTCGTCCAGCCTCGGGGCAGTCAGGGAGTTTCTCGGAGGGGACCTCTAAGCAGAGTGGTAAAGGGTAAGTGAGAAAAGATGAGTCATTCTAATAGAAGCCTGAAAGGACGTGGGGATGTGGGTCAGCACTGAACCCACAGTAGGTTCCATATGTGCAAACACAGGGCAGAGGAGCAGGTGGGCCCCTGACTGTTCTAAGGTTGGAACTAGGTCCCGTGTTAAATGCCGAGCTCCTACCACAATGCCTGGCTTAGAGCAGGTGCTCGCATAGCTAACAGGTCATGAAATGGGCCTTGAAATGCCCGTGTGCTATGCCAAGGAGTTTGGCTTACGTTGCTTACTTGCCATCAGAAGAAACTTTGTGGATGGGATCTTGTAAAATTGGATTATATGGGTATATTCCGATTTTGAAAATTCTTCAAGCTGTGCATTTATAGAAACATGAACATTTCTATTTTAATAAAAACTTAACAGCCCAGCCAGTGTGGCTCAGTGGTTGAGTGTTGACCTATGAACCAGGAGATCACAGTTGATACCCGGTCGGGGCATATGCCCAGGATGTGAGCTTGATCCCCAGTTTTGAGGCATACAGGAGGCAGCTGATCAATGGTTCTCTCTCATCATTGATATTTCTCTCTCTCTCTCTCTCTCTCTCTCTCTCTCTCTCTCTCTCTCTCTCTCTCTTTGCTCTTCCTTCATCTCTGAAATCAATAAAAATATATTTTTTAAAAAACTTAACCCAAAAAAATGACTTTACACAGAGCATGTACCTGGTCCACTGTGCCTTCCCAGGAAGGCTGTAACCATTCACAGATTCCCTAAGTTCCGGTTTACCCTAGAGGTAGACTCTCCGCATCTCATCATTCTCAGGAAGGACAATCCTCAGCTGCTGCTGGGCCAGAGAGGTGCAGAGAGAACAGAGCAAAGCCTACACTCTGCTCTCCCTCTGAGGGAAGAAGGGCTCATCAGAACTTATAAAACAGCTCTCCTTACTCAGTTCAGAACAACTATAGAGCTTTCTCCCCGGTCCCTCTTAAATTTTTTTTTTTAATTTTTTTTTTTTATTTTATTGATTTTTTACAGAGAAGAAGGGAGAGGGATAGAGAGCCAGAAACATCGATGAGAGAGATCGATCAGCTGCCTCCTGCACGCCCCCCACTGGGGATGTGCCCGCAACCAGGGCACATGCCCCTGACCGGAATCGAACCCGGGACCCTTGAGTCCGCAGGCCGACGCTCTATCCACTGAGCCAAACCGGTTCGGCACCCCCCGGTCCCTCTTAGAGGCTAGAAACTGTGATCGGGATGGTGAATGCAGAAAGGCAGTTGGAAGCAGGGCTGACAACCTTTCTGAGGTTAAGAGAAATAAAAATCCCTTTAGACCTTGGGGCCCCAAAGCTAGCCTAGATAGATCTAGAATCACCCTTCATAATAATATTGGTAATGCCCGGGTTCTAGAGGATTTGGGGTGGAAAAGACACTTTAGCCCCTCCCTGCAGGCAGAAGCTCAATTGCAACCCACAGGGTGCTCAAGGATGTACAAGGCATTTTTCGTAAACTGTTATCAGTTTTAATGAGCTGCAAATTGCCTAACAACATTGTTTCATTATAACGGAAATGCTTTTTGTTTTGCTAAAGCAGGACTGGCTATATAGTTAAATGATTGGAAGAGTAAAGCCTTTAATCCTATAGATTAATAAGGTATGACCTTTAATGCTGGCAAGCCTTTTATCTTTAGAGATGAATATCATCATTTACCTTCTTGGTCCAGATTTTCTGAAAAGGTTAAGATAGTGCCGCAGAGTACGGGAATGCTTTTATTAAAGGCTTCAGTGGACACAGAACTGCTGGCCTATCTTTAAAGGAAGTGGGGGGGGGGGCAGATAATAACTGTTAAGGAAAATGCCGCGATGGAAAGAGAACATTCGGGAATGGAATAAGATGGAATCGCTTTGTGGATGCTGATGAGGACAAAGCAGCAGCAATTAGCACTGGGCAAGTCCCGGTGTGATTACCACCCTGCTCAGGTAATCACCAGAAAGGTCAAATGTTAGTCTCACTGTCTTGTATGAGCTGCAAACTGTCGCAAGCAATTTCTCCTAAGATTCTGGAATCCCACTGGGGTGGCGCGGGCAGGACAGGCAGAGCGGGCTGCAACTTCCTGGCTCAGTGCCTTTTGCTCAGGCTCCTATTAGGCTCGTCTTCCTGCCCCTTTTCACCTACAACCTCATCTTTCACTCCTGGTCTGAAACTGCACAGGGTTCAGCATTCCACGATTATTACGGAACATCTCACATGCCCTCAGAGAAGGTCTGAATTGTGACTCCAAACTCCAAAGACAATATTGGGCCTCAGATAAGGCCAAAGGCCCTTTCTCCCAGCATCCATGCTATGCAGAGTTTAAAAGAAAAAGGGAAAATATATATATAAGTATCCCTTTTAGTTCTTCCCACGGCTTTAGTTCTTCCCATATAAAATGCTTTGAACTAGAAAGCTCATTCTCTCTAGAGTCCATATTAAGTCTTTACATCATTCTCAAAAGTGTTGCATTCCCCATCTATTTTCATTTGAAAGAATAAGGGAATGATAGCAAAAAAGCAGCCCAGTTATCACTATGTTCTGCAGCATGTTTTCATGACTTAGCAACTTGTATCAAGTAGGTTTGAGTCTGTCAGTGAAGAATGCAATGTGGGTTCCCGAGAAGACACAGATAGAGAACGAAGCCTAACAGCTGTGAAACTAAAGTGGAACAGACCGCGATAATGACTTTTCATGGGCTCAGATCTATCATGTCCCCACCTGTCTTCTCCTCAGCCCCCATGTGATAGATGTTCCCATCATACCAGCTGAGTCAAAATTGAAATATTGTGCAAAGTACATTTAGATTGATTAAAAGACACGAGTGTTACCCAGCCCCGTCTGAAAATGACTACTGAGCTACTGAATAACAATGGCCCCCGAACTGAGGACACCGGGGGATGTGAGCTTTAGAAAGAGGCCTCAATTTATGGTCTTTCTCTTTTTGTAGCTCAACCAAGCTCTAGGCCGCATGGAGGATGTACTGAGATTATTTAAATTAATTCTACTTAAAAGATGCTAGTTTGGATAAAACCAAGCCATCAGTTATGATGGCAACCCAATTAAGGCCATTTAGCACCCCTTATCTCAGCTGTTATAGTAATTGAGGAAGAAAAATAAATTGAAGACTCAGCCATCATTCCTTGTTACTTCAAGTACCAGTAAAATATCAATCACGT